CTGTCCAAATAAATAAACGTTTCCAGAGCTCCGGAAATTAACTAAAGGCTCATAATCCAGGGAGTGTTGAAGGAAACTGGCCGAATCTCAGAGCAGCAAGCATTGTGGCATTTTTACTTGCCCTATTCTCACAGCCCTCCAATCCTCTGCCCCCAAGCTCCCTGGTAGCCTTGTGCAGCAATCCCCATAAAACCCAGCAGCTTAGCAGCCACAGGAAGGGTCAAGTTGAGGTTGGAGCTCAGTAACCTCATTTGCCTGGTCTGGTGGTCCTACCTGCAAGGCTAGCCTGTGACCTGACTCTGAGCTTGGCTCACCCAGCACTTTCTCCCTGGGGTGTCAGGGATTGCTTGTCAAAACAATCAGCAGCAATTTTGGTTGACACTGGGGCAAACAACAAGCTAACAAAAACTGGAAAATGAGACGCCCACAGGGGGCCTGAGAAGCCATTGTTTCTGGGGTTACACAAGAGCCTGCAGGCTCAGGGCTGAGTGCTGCTCAGGAAATACCCGAATAAGTTGGATGAGTAGAAGTGCTGACAGCAAAACTCTCCCCCCAACTTTTATACCCAACAAGACTATCCTTGAAAAATAAAGAAGACATTCCCAGATAAACAAAACCCAAGATAACCCATTGCTAGCAGACCTGCTCTATAAAATATACCAAAGGAGTCTTTCAGGCTGAAAGAAAAGGACACTAGACAGTAACTTGAATCCAAATGAGGCGTAATAATGGGCACCTGTAAAGGCAACCACATAAGCATGTAGAAAAGACAGTATCAATGTATTTTCTTATTGCAACTTCTTTTCTCTATTTGATTTTTTTTTTTTTTTTTGAATAGTCTTGCCTGCACCACTTCATGCATCTCAGCCACTGCAAGCCCCCCCGGTTCCCCTCCCCCTCCGCCCGACTGGCTACCCCCCCCCCCGCTAGTTTTTTTTTTATAGACGGCACCGTTTAACCAGGTGCTCCCCCCCCCCCCCCCCCCAGTGCTGATACAGCGCCACCCCCCCCTTCTCTATTTGATTTAAAAGGCAACTTCATAAGCAAATTGTAAGCCTGTGCTGATGGGCATATAATATATAGCTGTCATTTGCATGACAATAGCACAAATGAGAGAGGAACTAGAGCTAAGCTTTTGTACGCTATTGAAATTAAGTTGGTATGAATCTTAACTAGAGTATTATAATAAATTAAGATGTTAACTGTAATTCCCAGGGCAACTGCTCATAACTTACACACACAGAAACCACAAGGAAATTAAAATGGCACAGTAGAAAGTATTTTGTAGGCTCTGTGCTAGGAAGAGCTTGGAATCCAAGATGTTTGAGACAGACACTGTCTCCACTCCAGCCAAATCTAGTTGAGTAATACACAACATACACAATACAAGGAACAAAAGTGATGATCAGTTATGACACATGCTGTACCATGTAAGACGAGAGTGCTTGGATAGATTCAAATAGAGGGGTGCTTCAGGCCATCCTAGAAGCCCCTGAGAAGAGAGAATGTTGAGCTCTGAAGGCTGAGAAGTCTCAGGACGGGGTGTCCAAGGCAAAGGGAAGAGCCCCGGAAACCGCCATGGCTAAGAGAGCTTTCTGGCTCTGGAAACTGACCAAGGCCACTGACCAGACAGGGTTGAGCTAAGCAGCAGCAAGGTCATGCTGTCTTGAGGCTGGGACACACAGATTTGGCACAATCATCACGGAAGGATTTTAAGCAAAGGAACTACATGATACTATTTTTACAAGCTGGCTTTGGCTGGGGTGTAGGGGCTTAGAGGGTGTGCCATTGCAGACCAAGACACAGTGGAGACAAAAATGGACAAAATACAAGGTAGATTTTTGAAGGCAAGGCCCTTAGGATTTGTTGATGGACTGGACGAGGAGTATGAGGGAATGGATAAAGAACAGCTCCCAGATTGCTAGTTTTCATATGGACCCAGTGAATAATGGTGTCATTTCGTGAAACACTAAGTCCAAGGGAGGACCAGGTTTCCAAGGAAAATCAAGAATTCAGTTCTTGATTTTTGGACACAGTCAACCTGAGATGCCTACAAAACAGCTAAGTAGAAGAGTCTGTCAAGATCAGCCTGGAGCCCCAAGAGGTCAAGGTGGGAGACATTTTGGACTCTTCTGGCTACACAGAGTTAAAGCTATGCTTGAAGAATGTCAACGCAGAGGGTGTGGGCAGGAAAAAAGGCCTGCTGAGAAGTTTGATACAAAACAGCCAAGGAGACTGATGTACCAGCAGAGCTGGCAGGCCGACTAGGAGATGGTGGGGTAATGACACAGGGGAGATGGCGGTGAACTGTGTGGAATGCTACAGAGAGGTCAAGAAAGCAACCAGAAACTGCCTATTAGATTTGGTGACAAGCAGGTGAGAAGCCATTCAGGCAAGAGCATCTCCGGTGAACCACTGGGGAGAGATGTCCAGAGAAGATGGACAATTTAGTTTTAGCAAAATTCTATCACATTAATTTTAATTTGTAATGTGATTTATAATTTGTATTTTAAAATTCTGAACTGCAAAATATTTTGGATATAGTTTTACAGTTGCACTTCCTGTATTTCAATAAATCTAAGACTACACTTATGTACCACAAAGAAAAGCATTACCTTTTACAACACAATTTTTTTTTTTTTTTTTTGAGACGGAGTCTTGCTCTGTCACCCAGGCTGGAGTGCAGTGGCGCGATCTCGGCTCACTGCAAGCTCCGCCTCCCGGGTTTACGCCATTCTCCTGCCTCAGCCTCCCGAGTAGCTGGGACTACAGGCGCCCGCCACCTCGCCCGGCTAGTTTTTTTTTTTTTGTATTTTTTAGTAGAGACGGGGTTTCACCGTGTTAGCCAGGATGGTCTCAATCTCCTGATCTCGTGATCCGCCCATCTCGGCCTCCCAAAGTGCTGGGATTACATACAACACAATTTTATTTTAAGAGACAGGTCTGGCTGTGTTGCTAGGCTGGAGGGCAGTGGCTACTTACAGCCATGCTCCCACTGCTAATCAGCACAGGAGTTCTGACTGCTGTTTCCAGGTTGGACGGGTTCACCCTTCCTTAGGCAACCTGGTGGTCCCTAGCTTCCAGGTCACCATACTGATGCCGAACTCAGTGTACTCACAGGATTAGCACTGCATACTATAGCCCAGAATGGGTGGGCTCCAGCAATCTCCCACCTCAGCCTTCCGAGTAGCCAGGACTGCAGACACATGCATCATGCCCAGTGACAATGTTTTATCACCGATTTTAAGACTAATGCTCTGGCCAGGCGCAGTGGCTCACGCCTGTAATCCCAGCAGTTTGGGAGACCAACATGGGCAGATCACCTGAGGTCAGGAGTTCAAGACCAGCCTGAGCAATATTATGAAACCCCGTCTCTACTAAAAATACAAAAATTAGCTGGGCATGGTGGCATGCGCCTTTAATCCCAGCTACTTGGGATGCTGAGACAGAACTGCCTGAACCTGGGAGGCAGAGGTTGCAGCGAGCCAAGATTGTGTCGTCATTGCACTCCAGCCTGGGAAATAAAAGCGAAACTCCATCTCAAAAAAAAACAAAAACAAAAAAAACCAAAAACGCTAATGCTCAAACTATCAAGTAAAGGAATCAACTGTCTTCTTGAGATTGCTGCCGTGGGCAGCTGGACTGGGGCCTACCCTGTGTGGCATCTCCAAGATTTAGTGCAGGATTTACGCGGCACACGGGTGCGGGTTTCTCTGCTGTGTTCATGGCACGCAGAACAGTGTCTGCTACATGGCAGGTACTCAGGGCGTATCTGAAGGAATGTGTGCACTACACCACATACAGAAATGATAATATGCTCCCTCCAATCAGGAGGTCCAGTCCTTAAAGGACCACCCCAGGAGAGTTGAGTTGAACTTCAGTTTCTAGTACAATATGCGGTTGTAAGTTCCATTTACATAGACATAACTGGATGAACTAGGTCCCCATTTTCTGCTTAGTGTTCACACATTTTTAGTCCTAAGAATAACCCAGGTAATAACAATACCGTGTTGTTAAAATTTATTTTTATTTAGAAGGTGATTATTTGGCCAGGCATAATGGCTCAGGCCTGTAATCCCAGCTACTCAGGAAGATCACCTGAGCTTGAGCCCAAGAGTTTGAGGCTATGATCTGCACTCTAGTCTGGGTGACACAGCGAGACCCTGTCTTTAAAAAGGTGTTTGGTGGAGGTCTTCTAAGGCAAAAATTTCATCCTGAAATGACAAATGAAGCAAAAATATTTAAAAGATCCAAATGAATGACATGTGTTTTAAGAACATAATTTTTCATTAACAATCAACTGCAAAGTAAAACTATATTTTGTTAATAAAGTCAATGGTAACATTTGCTTACGTATTAGAAATAGCCCTGTGAAATTTCAGCTGCAAAAGGGAATCATTTAAAAAGCACTGCTCAGCTCCAAGTTTGACTTACAGACAAGGTAACAGCCACCAGGCAAATGAAATCCCTCTTCTCCTTTATAGTTGCTCCTTGGAGAGAGGGAGGCCCGTCGTCCGGGTCTGAAGGAGGCTCCCGAGACGGACACAGATCACTAAACTGCGGGGTGTTCTAGGAGAGTGACAGGCAGGGCTGTTTTCCCAATCGTCTCCTGTCTGACACAGACATCAAGCTAAGCTGTGGGCAAGGGTGAACAATGCCTCTCAGCAGCTCCTCCTCCTTGACCAGGCTCCCGACCACGGAGCATTTCAGCCAAGGTTTGGGGATCTAAGGATGGAAGGAGAGAATGTGATCACTGGGGAGGAATTCCCCTCACAGACCCCCACCAGAGCCACTCAGCTTCAATCGGCTGTAACCCAGCCTCAACACCTGCCCGTCACTGCGCAGGGAGTCCATGGTCAGCAGCCATGTCAGCACACCTCCTCCTGTGGCCACATCGTCACTGGTTTCTGGAATCCAACCTGGGGCCTTCCTGAAGCCAAGTAAGAAACTCAGGACAAGGCTTCTCTTCTTTGAAAGCCACATCAAGTAGCACAAAGGACTGAGGTTTGCAGCTATTTTATTTACAAGTATACATTAACACAATGAAATAAACACTGATATATTGAAGCCTAGTTAATAGTAGTGTAACAATATGCATCATTTTGATGATTACATTATTTTAAACAACAAACTACACTGAAAAATTAATGCCGATAAAATTCTTGGTCATAATATTAAGAAATACAATATATAAATTGAAAATATGATTGCTTAAAATTTGAAAATGGAAGTGAACTCATTTGGACAGACTCAGAGTTAACATAATCTGAAGGGAGGGGAGCTCTGACCCAAATGATATCTTTCAGGTTAACAGAAGAAAAAAGAAGCATAGTTGATCTTCAAGGAGAACGGGCAGTTTGCTTCTTCAGGTAGAATATATTCCCAGTGTCCTCGGGCTTCGCAGCAGAATCACATCACCGAGCACGAAGACTTGCCTTGTGAAGCTGCCCCATCCATTTTTTCTGCCTCCAAAATTATCCTTCTAAAAACATCAACAGCAGTCTGGAGGGAGAAAGAAACCCAATCACAGTGTCAGTGTGAAGCTGAACTCCGAGACTACTTCCCGGACTGAGGAGGGCGTGCCACTTGCCTGGCCCTCCTGCTGGTGGAGGAGGAGGGGTTCCGGTGAGCCCCAGAACTTCAGGGCCCCCCGACGCCCAGTAAGGCCACTCACTGTCCACCCCTCCTGACCCAGACCATAACCAGCCTCCCATTGTGCTTCTGACCCTGTTTTCTTCAGGCACCAGGAGAGGCCCAAAGAGTCCTCGCTCCTGGACTCACCACTATCTCCTGTCCCCCTCCACCCCACGACCCCCACCCCAGTGTCCTCTGGACCTCAGAGTCCCTCTTCACTTCTGGCGCTATCTTCCCTCCAGTGCCATGGGACACACTCTCCTAGCAGCCCTTGCCTCTCACATCCTTGACTCCAAGAGGCCTCGAGTGGGGGAGGCACCCTCCGTGCTCCTGAGATGCCATGATGCCAGCCTCCAACACCTCTGCGGCATAATTCTTGGCCATTTCAATCCACAAACTGCCCTCCCTATCTCTTGGCCTCTCCTCTGCTGCCCGTCTTCCTGCCCTTAGCCTCAGCCCAGGGTCAACTCCACCAGTCCTTCACCACAAAGAGGAATCATGGCCACTTGTGGCAGGAACTCTTCTTACACTGAGGGGAGAGAAGAACTGTCAGATCCTGTCTTTTTTTTGTTGTTGTTATACAGATTGGAGGTTTCTATGTTGCCCAGGCTGACCTCGAACGCCTAGCCTCGCCTCCTTATGCACCACAACAGGCCTGAGCCACCGTGACTCCCCGACCCTGTCCTTTAATAAATGCAGTCCTGTGGTCATGAAAACCTGCCCCTGTTCTCAGAAGCCGCACGGGAAGTGCCCAGTTCTCCTAATCACCAAGAATCCCCCTCCCCCATCACTCCAGTGACTTCCAGTATCCCACGAAATGACAACACACCAACTGCCAGTGTCCCACCAAACCACCTTCCCAGCTCTTTTTCTCTAGCTATCCTGAAGCAACAATTCTCAGCCCCACAGGGGCCTGATTTGTTGACCCTATTATTACATCTCCCATGATCCTTAACCATTTCTTGCTGTTCCTTTCCCTCTCGGTCAGCTCAGACTCTGCAGGCCACCATGGCGCCACTGTACTTCAACTCCCTTCCCTACCAACTGTCACCGGCATGGTGCCCGCGGCCACACAGTAAACGTTGCCCAGGGAAAACACACACCACTGACTACTGACCTCACACCCATGACCAGGAACCTGGGACAGACGCTTGGTGCTGCCTAGCCACCCAATTGCATCCCTGGGGTTGGGCACTCCCCAGAGAAAGGATTCATGCCTTGTCTCTTCTCCTCAAATGTTCCCCATCCTCATGCTCAGCTGAAAACCTTGTTTTACACACTTCACTGGAAAACAGAAGCCACATTCATGAAAGAACTCCACATCCTCCGTCCACCAAGCTGACCCACCCACTTGAATGTGGGCTCCCATCCTCAGCCTTCTGTCCTATTGCTATGAATGAGGTGTCTGTCCTCCTAGTTAACCGAAGCCAACCCCAGGTCCCACCCCGCTTGTCTAATCTAGGTCACCGGCTTCGGATCACCTGATTGACAGGAAGCAGTGTGTAGAGAAAAAAGGACTAGATGTGGATGAGATTTACAATTCAGTCTTAGTTCTTACACCACGTAAGGTAGTGGGTGATCTTAGAAGTCATTTAACCTCTCTGAAACTTAATTTCCTCACTTCTAAAATGAGGCGGTTCAACTACATGATCTGAGGGATACAGTCTGTAGGCACTCAATAGATGACTGATTTAATTCAATTTTTAAAATATAGGTATCTCTTAACTATCTCAATTCTTATTTGAATTCTGCCTATACTCAGAAACTGAGCTGACTTCAATAAATCCCTTGCTATCTGGAACTTGGGAACCAATTACACAGATCTGTTTATTCATTTTTTTCATCCACACATAAGAGGACATAATCACACGGATTCACTATCCCTCCATAATCCCAACACAGGACGAAGCCAATTTGACTAATACGGGATACTTGGGCTGACGGATAACCCACTAGATACTAACACACCGTGCTGAACGTTATGAAGGATATTTATGTAAATGATACCGACTCAGATCTCAGAATAAATTAAGGGGGCTAAGAGAAGAAATCACAATTTCTTTCAGCTGGATGGATCCAGAGGGGGTCAACAAGAAGGTGAAATCTAGGTGGAGCCTTGAGGACTATGAACCTCTGTCATGGTGAGAGGGGCGGAGCAGGGAAGGAAGAGTGCCAAGGCTGCTGGTTCCCGGCCCTCCCAGGGAGGAGGCACCACCTTACTACACTAGAGTTTCCTCAGAGAAATGAAAACCGAGTCATCTTACCTGAGGATCAAACACTGCCACATGTTGAAAACACATTCAAAATATAAAACCCCACATGATATAAGTAGATACTTAGAGAAGGGTTATTTTAAACCAGAGGGGAGCATGAGGAAAGGTGAGACATTTTGAAAGTGGGGTGGACAGGAGATGATGTATTTAAGGAATGGAGCAGTTTGATGTGATTGAAAGTACAAGAATGTGGTGAGAGAAGAAACTAGAAAAGAACAAATCACTGACTGCACTCAGGACCAGGCGAAGGTTCTACGGAGAAAGGGCAGTTCACTGACAGTTTGAGTAGAGGACGGTACCATCAGATGTATGTCTTTAGAAAGTTAAGGGCAGCAAAGAGGAACATATAGATGAAAAATGCACTGGGGGCGGGAGACAAGTTTGGTGCCGGGGGTCTAAATTAAAGCAATGGAAGAAAAAGGTTCATACAGGATTGTGAAGCCTCCTGAAGCAGAATCTACATACTTCCCAGAACATGCCTTTAAAGGTACATCTACAGGGTGAAATTGGTACTAAATGCTTAAAAGATGGTTCTTAATCATTTCTATGTTAAAAATTAACACATACGTCTGACCCGGTTTCATCTAACAGAAAAAAAAGCCAGGGGGTAGGTACAGTTAAAAATTAGTGCTAATGATATAATTCTTTTATTTTTTTTTTTGCTGCATGGACTTATTTCTGTATCAGTTATTAATACAAAACAAAAATACACGTTTACAAAAGGTAGTATTTCCCTTACTAATAGTTTATGTTTATCCTACAAATATCCTAGGTTCCACTGTAAGTAGAATATTGACTGAATTTATAAACACCTAAGTAGTATCTTCCTAAAGCAACACAAAGCTTGGTATTACAAATGTTCTGGAAGGCCAAATGTTACACAGGAGTGATCAAGACAGAGGTCAAATGCCAACTGCAAGGAACACATCCCTGTGACTGATGAGAACGCAATGCAAAACGAGGTTTATAGAATCTGTTACCTGATTTTCTTTAGCAGAAGATTCCAAAAAAGCTGCATTCCAAGATTCTGCCAAAGCTTTCCCTTCTTCATAACTGATCACCCTAAAGGACAAATAAAATTCTGGTTAAAGTACTTTGCTCTTCATTATATAAAATATCTATAATTGATTTTGAAACAGGCTCCATTTTGGTCAATTTCTTTCTCATGAAGCAGAACCATGCCCTGGCCTAACATTAGCATCGAGAATGTAACACAGGAGTGTTTCAATTACGCCTGAGCTGGGGAACAGAATAGACATTGCCTTACGGGATTATCCCTGCTCCAGCAAACCTTCCAGCTCAGAGAACATGATCCTATTTTCCAGTACTCCCGTATCTGTAACAATTGACTATTTTACAGCTAGGTTTTAAGCACCCAAGGCCAGGGGAAATTGTGAAAGGGCCTGAAAGCTCAATTCTCTTGCGTGCAGGCTGTAGAGTCTCTTACTCTCTGACATGAAGCTGCCTGGGCAGGGGACATCTGCCTCCTTTGCTCCCCACTGTAATCCCAAACCCTGGTACTCAAAAACCACTTGCTGCATCAATGAGCACTACGTCTTTTTAGAATTTGCTCTATGCAAGGTGGTAGATAACCTAAAGGTAGTTTTCTATAAAGTTTGCTCTCTCTTTTCTAGAGGAATGTGAGATTTCTATTGCCCTTTTGCTTCTGCTGCACACGACCATAACATCTCTGAACAGATAAGAAATGCCACAGCTAAAAATATTCTTGATATCAGAACAATAATTAAAATGACACTACAGTGACTAAATCATCTTAGACTTGACTTTAGAAATTACTAATGATTTAAAAGCTACATACCTTTCCATATGCAGGTCTTTCTTATTCCCAACCAACATAATAGGTATTCTATTTAAAAGAAAAACAAAATAAAACAAAACAAAATAGTCAGTGCCAGATTGTACTGCTCAGAAGATACTATTATAAGAAGTTTCTCTAACAAACAGATAAAATGGTACTACTTACTGTACTTTCCCCACCATATCCAATAATTTCCCATGGATAACTTTAATCACTTCAAAACTATAAAACAAAAAAGTATAAATTAGACATTCATTTTAATGTTGAAGTTTTTAAAGGTATGTTATGTTGACAGCTGGAAAATGCAAAATGTCACGGACTCACCATTTTAACATAAACTGAACACAAAGAAGTCTTGTTTTTTCCTAGCAATCCATTCACATGTGCACACATCTGACACTCAGTAACCCTGACTGAGGATATTCAAAGTGAAACAGGTAAGGCATTCAAATGGAAAGCCTACCACTGGGCTGACAAACCACATAAATGCAATTTTTAATCACCCAACTTACTCAGCAAAGAACCAACTGTTTACATTACAACTTGAACAGCTTTCCCTAGAGTGCCCTAGTGCACTCAGCCTGTTCCTGTTTTCTTTCCTAGGTACATACATTCTCTGGGTGATGCCAATCTCTCTTGGCTTTCAATCAGATCAATAAGCCGATGACTCTAGGTTGAAGGTGGCTCTCACTGGGAAGGGCATCTGAGATGTCACAATGATCACTCGAAATCTGCCATAGTAGGATTATTTATACCATTGAATGCTGACAAACAGCCACAAACCATTTCCCACCCTCCCCCAAAAAACCCATGCGAACATTTGCCAGCACATCTCTGGCTCTACGTTCAAATCCTACCTAGAATCTGATGGCTTCTCACTCCCCGCCACAGCTGCCACCGAGGTGTGAAATTCCTGGCCCAAGACTGCCTGCATCACAGCTACAGCCCCAACCCTTCCCTGCCACCCCTGCTCAGCACAGCAACCAGAGGACTCGGCTGCAGCAGATGGACAATGTCTCGCTCAACGTCCTCTGATAGGCGGCCATCTCTACTCGGCCCCAGTTACTCTCAAACCCTGACTTCTGCCTCCATTCCCGTCTGCCCCCTCTTCTGTTTTGTCTGAGCTGCACTGGCCTCCTGACATTCCTTTAACACCGCCAGAGCCTCTGAAGTCACTCCCCGTGTGCCTGGTATGTTCCTTCCCTAGGGATCCCTTGCTTCAAGTCTTTCCTCAAATGTCACTTTTTTTTTCTTTTTTTTTTGAGATGGAGTCTTGCTCTGTCACCCAGGTTGGAGTGTAGTGGCACGAAACTCAGGTCACTGCAACCTCCGCCTCCTGGATTCAAGTAATTCTCCTGCCTCAGCCTCCTGAGCAGCTGGGACTACAGGTGCCCGCCACCACGCCCAGCTAATTTTTGTATTTTTAGTAGAGACAGGGTTTCACCATGTTGGCCAGGCTGGTCTCAAACTTCTGACCTCGTGATCCGCCTGCCTTGGCCTCCCAAAGTGTGGGATTACAGGCGTGAGCCACCGTGCCCAGCCTCAAATGTCACTTCTTACACCTCTTCTGTTTATCCTAAATTACAAATTCCCTGTCTATTTCTTACCCCTTCTGTACTTCATTTTTCTTGGCAGCATGGTCACAGACATCCTATCTCACATGTGTGTCGTTTTACTGTTTGTCTCCCACACCAGAAATAAGTTCCACAAGGGCAGGGATTTGTCTGCTCTGTTCATGGTTGCATCACAAGCTTCGGAGCAAGTTAGCTTGTTGAATGAATTACACACTGTGCTATTTTAAACCACATGTGCTGTCACTTTGATAAAAACAAAAATGAAATTTAACCCCCCTACAAGCTCGCTGTGGGTCAACAATGGGATATGGGTGTCCTAAGGACCTGCGGTTACGTTACAGAACCACGTTTTCCTCCGCATGCTATATTTGCCTACATTTAAAAGTGTCGCCACTTGGGCAAAAATACAGTACCCTGTCACGTGAGAAACGGCTGAAAGAACTGGGACTGTGTGGCAGGCAGCTTGGAGCCAGCTCCCAGAGCTCATGCTCTCCTAGGGGCCACACTGTGTGTCATCTCCCTGCATGGACATAACGACGTGCATCTAATGAACAGAATATGGCAAAGGTGACGGGATGTCCCTTTTGAAGTCAGATGGGACTGCAGCCCCTGCTGACACTCACCCTGCGGCTGCAAGAGACTGAAGTAGAGGACACAGCTAGGACACGCCCAAATTCCTGATCCACAAATCTGTGAGATCGTAGATGTGTACTGTTCTAAGTGGCTAAATTCCTTGAGATCACTGATTTTCTGAATCAAACTGGTTGATTCAGAAAGTTTTACTGACATATTTCTTGTATATTCATAAATATTTGTGTATTCAGCATATAGGTTTCTAAAAAACAAAACACCATTCTTCTCACACTCATGTTTGAGATTTGAGAATGCTCATTAAACTACGAGCTACTAAGGCAAAAGGCATATAACAAAACAAAACACACCCATTTTAGTAAGGAGAAACTTGGTCAAAACTTGCAACAGTGCCACTGAGAGGACACAGTATCAAGGTTTTTGTCCTCTGCTTCGCACTAGGCCAATGTTTTCTCCAATACACAAGGTCCTTGGTGAGCACATTTTCATATTTTTAATCCAGATCAACTTATTTTTCAATTTCCCCAGTGATACGTGCTATGTTTTCAACTTGATTCTATAATGTCATCTAATTTGTGCCCACCAAAGGAGATTTAAAAAAATCAGTGGACGCACTAAGAAAATTTTCTACCTACTATTTTGATGCCTCAAAGTAACAATTTGTAATGTTGGTAAAAAACACCAACATTATTTTCTAAAAATTAGCTAGAATAAAATTATACTTACCAACAACAAAACATTTTTTGAATCATGTTTTTCAAGTAAATTAGTAAAAATGGTAATTCATAAACAAACATGAACTTCCAACATTCATTAGATTAGTGGTACATTAAATTTGTTCTGGACAAGGCCTTACACATGGCAGGCACTGAAATGGAAAATCTTAGAATTTATCGAGCAAACGAGAGCTTAACATGAGTTATATATACAGTAAGTACATTTAAAAAATATACAACTGAAATTAAGAAAATCTTTGTAGAAAAACGGCCAATATTTTTACTATTTAAAGTGCTCGTGTAAGTCAGTAAGAAAACAGTGTTTCCAAATACTATGTACACTGTAGTTTTAAGCATAAAATCCAATCTAAGCATTGCTTTTAGTGACAAGAATATGAATACATGAAAACAGGAAGAGAGATAGCCATCTATTGTTGAATATGAAATATTATAAAGCTATTTACTATTTCAAACACTTGGTAATATGGAAAAATATATATTACATAGTAAGTAAAAATATAAAAACATGGAAAATATAAACCATAAAACAGCATTCAGAGAGCAAATAAAAGGATGTTAAAACAATCCATGCAGACTAAAACAAAGACCAGAAAAAACATATACCAAGATATTCCCAGTATCTATGCTTAGGTAATGAGATCAAGAATGATTACCCCCACTTTCTATTTTTCACAGTTTCCCAATTTTCCTTAAGGAACACATAATTTTGGTACTTGGTTTTGATTCAGGTGTAAACTTTCTCAGGGACTGACAGTATGGGGTCTGTTTATAAGAATGGCCGAGAATGGTACTCAAACATTTCATAGCTAGAACTCAACACCCTAAATATGTTTCTCTGCCATGGAGAAAAATGTTAAACAACACACTCACAGAGCTGCAGACTGAATTTTCACTGGCAGTGGAGTATGTGGGGGTAAGGAACCCAGACACCGGCCAACATGGTGGCCTCCAGCCACACGTGGCTACTGAGCACCTGAAATGCGGCTACTGTAACCGAGGGAGTATGAATTTTTCATTTTTAGTTAATTTAAACAGCCACCTGCGGAACAAACAGCAAACACTTCTATCACCGCAGTAAGTTCTATTGGACAGTGTCAGCCTTGACTGTGGAACTGGAGAGATGGCTATGAATCCCAGCAACGTCATTATGTAGCCCTGGGCAAGTTGCTTTAGCTCTGTCACTCAGTTTCTTTCTATGTAAAGTGGGATATAAAACATCTCTGATGAAGGATTGTTTAAGGTAATGATGAAATAGGTAATGTATCATATGTAGGCAAAGAGCATAACAAACTCCCTAATGTGTCGCACACACTCAATAGATGCTAGGTAGCCACCAAACGCCCTCCACTGGCGCTGATATTTTCATAAAGTCTTCAAACATAAGCTGTCACCAATGCCCAGAGCTCCGCTGCTGTATACAGCCAGCTGTTCTGTTAACAGACACAGACCACTGCTCCTCCTGATAACACACGCCATCCCCCGGTAAGAGACGACATGAAATATGTAGCTAAAGGAACCGACATCCATTCTTATTTATACAAATAATGGCTCTGTTTTTATGTAGTAAAGAGAGACTCTATTACCAAAAGGTCTTATTTCATAAATTCAAAGGATAAGATATTGAACAAACCCAAACCCTCAACATTTTATTAGAAAGTCTATTTCACCTTAAGATAGTAAAAACACACACAAAGTAAAATCAATTTAGGCATTTCCCATTTCAATTAGCAGAAAAGCTTAGATCATGCTGAACCACTATTTTTCCAGGCAGCTCGAGGTAAGAAAGAGCCTTTTAACCTATTGATGCAACTAACAGAACATTTAGTGGGCCATGTTTTCCCCCAACAACCCAGTTGCTCCACAAGAAAATCACTAAAAAACATGTAGCCTACTAATTCTAATTGTCACTATTAATAATTCCAGCATAGTCCTTTAAAAGGATCAATGCTATCTACGAGTAGCAAATAAACTCAAGCAGGCAGCAGGAGCCTTACCTTTTGATTGATGTAACAGAATACACAAGAATATAGCCATTAATATCTATGGAGTAGGTCTGAGGAAAGATAGAATATTCATCCTGTGGAAAAAAAAAATTATATTTGAGTAGTCTTCATATAGCATCACAAACAACCTTTACCCAAAGTTTTTCATGTATTACCTGAAGAAATCAAAGTAGACACAGAGTGGATTACAATATTATGCCAGAAACAGCCTACACACTGAAGCTTTAAGAATGGCTTGGAGGTGATAATGTGGTTCAAGCCAATATTTAAAAATGACTAGCTGTTCTAGAACTTTAGGGGAAAGTCTGATGACCTCCGTAACTCCTGGCAGAAGAGGATGGATGGAACATAAAGATGATTGGCTCTGTGATCTCAAAACAAGGGATGAGCATGACTAAGTCCAGAATCTTCTAGACCTCAGGACATTTATACATCCTGATTTATTCCATAAATCTGTATTTTTATACTTGAAACTGTCCTATTATTTAATTTATTCTCTGCATGTCAGTCACAGTGACCTGAGCTTCAATCTACAGGTTGCTAGAGGGGTGCCAATAGCATCTGGGGGTGGGGGGGAGGGGAAGGAAGGGAGGGAGGCAGGGATGGGGAGAGAGAGAGAGAGAAAGACAGAGAGAGAGAGAGAGAGAAAGACAAAAGAGGATCAAAACACCAGATTCAATTGAGGTATTCAGACTTTTGGGGACCAAGAGAGTTACTTACTGAGCAACTCTAGGAATTAAAGAGAAAGGTACCTATTATGCAACAGCATAGTAGTCCTTAGTTTTATAAAGCAACATTATGAAACCTTGCTTTATATACATATTAAAGCATACAGAAAGTTCTGATGTCAGTGCAGTTTTCAACAGTACACGCTACTGTCTGGTACAAACATTTCATTCTTAGGTGAAACTAAATTGTCAACATAATACATGTCCCAAGCACTATTACGGAAAAATCACATCATGGTACCAGCAGATTAAGCAGCTCTATTATTTTTGTAAAGTTACAGTATGGTTATAACCACTGTTTACGACAGCCCAGAATTACTGCCCTGTGGTAAAGTTCTTTAAAGAAAAAAAAAAGAAAAAAGAAAAATAAAATTAAGTTTTACTATAAATTCTTTGATATAATAAATAAGATTAAAAACAAAATCCCAAATGATTTTAATCACTAGCTCAGCGAGAGTAGGTTCAAAGTTAAAATTCTGTTTTCCCTAAAGGGAAAATGTGGAAACATAGAAAAAAGTAGTTATGTCTAAGAAGCACTGAGTGAAAAACTACCAGTTAGAAGACATAATGGAGGAAAGAGCCCCTAGCTGATATAATTCTGAATTTTTTTTTTTTTTGAGACGTAGTTTTGCTCTTGTTGCCCAGGCTGGAGTGCAATGGCAGTCTCAGCTCACTGCAACCTCCATCTCTCAGGTTCAAGCGATTCTCCTGCTTCAGCCTCCTGAGTAGCTGGGACTACAGGCTACACCACCACACCTGGCTCATTTTTGCATTTTCAGTAGAGACGGGATTTCACCATGTTGGCCAGGCTGGTCTCGAATCCCTGACCTCAGGTGATCCGCTTGCCTCGGCCTCCCAAAGGATTACAGGTGTGAGCCACTGTGTCTGGCCTTTAAAGTCTACTTTCTGAGAAAGAATAATAGCAATATAGTAGAAATTGGGAGGGCAGGTGAGTAGAAACCATAAAGCTCTCATAAAATAATACTGTACTGGCTCACAAATAGAACAGACTGAAAAATCTAGAAAGACCTGATAGATATGAGAATGAGGTACCTGATAATATTGGCATTTCAATCAGTGAGGACCAAAAGTAACCCTCAACTGAGCGTAGAGGGACACCTGGGGATGAATGGCTAAGCTGGATCTCCAATTCACACCTCGGCAAAAACATATTCCAGACGAAGCAAAGATTTAAAGATAAAAACGATGGGCACAATAGATGCGAGAACTTAAAACATATTACCAGTTAAAAAAAGATTAATAAATGAAAAAGTTCTTCATGGTTGCAAACCTCTCTAACAAAAACCATAAATAAAACAAACTGAAAACAAAACTGTGCATCTCAGATCATATACAAAATGCTAATTTTCTTCACATATTGAGGGGGAATCTCACATCAACACGCAAAGACTAACCACCCAATAGAAAAAAAATGGCAAAGTACACAGACAGGATAATTCATAGGGGAAAAAAAAAATACAAACATCTTCCAACACAGGAAAAAATCAAAGCCCCTCCTAAGAAGAAAAGTGCATTATTAAAAGTACACTAGGATGCTATTTTTTACCTATCAGATTGGCAAGTACCAAAACGTTTGGTTAACACACAGTGCTGTTGAAGGTGTAGGGAAACAGACACTCTCATTCACTGCTGGCAAGAACATGAACTGTAACCCTATGATAGCCCACATCCAGGAAGTTTTCCTATGTGCATCACTACCCTATGTGTAAAACAACGTCTGGGACGTTCGTTAAGGGATTGCTGATGGTAGCAAGATGGGCAACAGTCTAACTGTTGATCAGCAGTTAACTTACAATATATATCCCAACAACTGGATATTATGCGGCCTTGGGGAAAAGAGAGGCCATAGGTATTGATATGGAATAATCTCCAAGATGGAGATGTATTACTCTTTGTGTAAAAAGGAAAAAAAAAAAAAACAAAACCAAGCTTAAAACTATATTTGCATATTCATGTATCAAGTATCCTAGAGGCATATACTAGAAACCGGTAAATGGGGTTGCTGGCGGGGGTTGGGGGTTAGATACCTAGGGTAGGAACGTCTTAAAGTTTTACTATTTACACATTTTTGCACTATTTATTTTTGTACTATGTGCATTACACCTATTTTTTAAAAATTAAACTTAATTTTCAAAATAGCAAATTTGGTTACATTATAAGATGGATTGTCATTGAATCAATTTTAATTATTATTATTATTTATTTATTTATTTATTTATTGAGACGGAGTTTTGCTCTTGTTGCCCAGGCTGGAGTGCAATGGTGCAATCTCGGGTCACTGCAACCTCTGCCTCCTGGGTTCAAGCAATTCTCCTGCCTCGGCCTCCCAAGTAGCTGGGATTACAGGCATGTGCCACCACGTCTGGCTAATTTTGTAGTTTTAGTAGAGACAGAGTTTCACCATGTTGGTCAGGCTGGTTTCAAACTCCTGACCGAAAGTGATCCACCCGCCCTGGCCTCCCAAGGTGCTCGGATTACAGGCGTGAATCTAAGTTATTAACCAATTTATGCTGGAGGTTGCACTTTTTTTTTTTAAATGAAAAATCAGACCTTGGTGACCTTGATCAGTAGGATATAAATAACTTCCATAAGCTTAGCGTTCCAATAACGGAACACTAGGCATAAATAGGTAATAACACAGAAGAGGCTACTTTTTTTTTTTGATACTTCACATTCTTACCCCAAAATTCATTTAAGGTACACGCTCTCACCCTAATATTGGGCAAAACCAAAATATTTCATGCAGTCTAAAAATAATCAATCTGTATTTAACTATGTTCATCATCATTCCTAGGTCGGCAATTAAACCACTATTAAAGCATAGTGGTATGGATGTACTGACATAAACCACTAAGTAGTAAATAGAACTTGCTAACAAATACTGCTATGCAGCAATTCACTGCATGCAATTTCATTCCTGAAATGTGGAAGCAGCTAGTGAACAAATTTACTACAGAGTACTTTTAAAATAATTTGCCTCTTAATCATCTTACCCTACTACTACTAGTCTTAATCCCAGAACTAGCCCCATATGCATTTAATTTATAAAGCAGCTCTTGGAGCAGTAAACATCTGAGTTTTGTTCTCATCCAGTTTTCAACAGAATGAAGGGTGAAACTACGGCAGGACATGCCTGTGCTTCACTGTCCTGAGCTGTAAATAAAGACACATCTTTAATTTATTGTCCATCAACTGTAAATATAACCTTCAAGAACTACTAGTTGCAATGAGTACAAATGATTTAAAGTAGCCAAATTTGGATATATTTTGTGCAAAAATTCTCCAATTACTCTTACCCAGTTGTAATAGAACCCAAAGGGGCAAGACAACAGGGCTGCTAATATGATCACTGCTCTTGTCTTATCTCATATACTCTTCCTAAACACTGGTGCTTTTGGTTTCACTATTTGTATTATTACATCACTAAAATATTTTAAATGGTTTGATACCTGAGTGTACATTTATGTTCTAGGGCAAAACAGTACCTCAGAGGAACACATATTCCAATTTGATAAGTAGTCAATATAAAGAAATTTATTCTTTAGAGAAATCTTTTCAAAGACAGCTCTCCAAGTATTAAGAACACGTGCACTTCCACCACGCAGCCTGTCAGCACAGTTAATATGCTGGTGTCACACTTGCCTCAGTAGCACTAAAGGTCTACAGAGAAAGAGCACATCCGCTTCAACCCCACTGTGACAATCCTCCACAATTCCAGTTATCACTATTTATAGATAAAGCTCTGAGACACAGAAAGACTTCTTCACCCTTTAATTTAAAGAGATGGGATCTCGCTCTGTTGCCTAGGCTGGACTGCAGTGGTGCTATCACAGCTCACTGCAACCTAAAACTCCTAGGCTCAAGTGATCCTTCCACCTCCCACAGTGTTGGTATTAAAGGCATGAGCCACCATGCCCAGCCCTCATTAGCTTCCTTAAGGTTACTGGGTTAGCAACAAAAGCCAAGATTCAAATCCAGGCAAGTGTGACTCCAGGGCCCACACTCCAAACAGTTATGAAACTGGTTCCCTGAATTGCCTGATACAAAACGTGTTTCCAGAGTAACATTATATGAAAGTGATTTATCAATTTACATTCTCATCACCAGTTTTCAGGAGCTTAAAGAAGATTCTAAATAAGGATACAAAAGCAAACTGAAGTCTTGATAGTGTCAGAGTCCCACAATAAACTGAACAGCTGTATTTCTTTGCCCAGGATACTCTAAGTTACACTGTTGCCCAACGTAATTATTATTAGCACCCCCAGCCCACAACTCTAAAAGTGTCTTGGTTTAGGCAATAAATTATATAGTCAGCTTAACTATAAAAGAAAGATATGAAACCCAACAACACAACACTCAAGCGGCTCTTCCCTTCCCAACTAATGTCTAATGAGCCTTGTCATCTGTGCCATGCCCCGCCCCCCCAACAGAGACTTACACTGCTCCCCTGGTCCATATAAGCCCCAACTCCTGTTCTTCTGTCAAGAGGACAGGTATCAGGGAGTGAAAGTCTAGGATGGCTCTGTTCTAATGAAAGCATCAAGAATCTGACTGCTAAAGCACATCACATCCACCGCCAGCCGGGAGTGTGTAGGGTGAGTGAAGGAGGCACATGCTATAGCTCTGTGTACAAGCTCAAAGAGCCAAACACATTTATTTTCTTCCAAGCTTCCAAAATGGAAACCTCAGGGTTCCTCCAATGCTAACATCACTCAATATAGCTATCTTCTTGCTTCGCTAAGGCGTCACACTTTCCTTCTATGTTCACTTCAAAACGCAAAGCAGAGGGAATTCATTCCAAACCCACAGGACAGGTCATACTATTCTGGGTCTACTCCAATTTCCCCAGATTCCAGGAAAAAAGCCCCCATTTAACACGGCAGACCAGATCACACTACACTCACCCTTCTGCTACTCTTATCCTTTAAGTTGCAAGGGTGGACCAGGCATGGTGGCTCCCGCCTGTCATCCTAGCACTTTCGTAGGCCAAGGCAGGCGAATCACCTGAGGTCAGGAGTTTGAGACCAGCCAGGCCAACATGGCGAAACCCCGTCTCTACTAAAAATATAAAAATTAGCCGGGTGTGGTGGCGTGCCTGTAATCCCAGCTACTTGGGAGGCTGAGGCAGGAGAATTGCTTTAACTCAGGAGGCACAGGTTGTAGTGGGATAGCGCCACTGCCTTCCAGCCTCGGTGACAGAGCAAGGCTCCGTCTCAAAAAAAAAAAAAAAAAAAAAAAAAAAGTTGCAAGGGCAGGAGTTAGGAGCTGAAATCCCAGCTTCTTTACATTCCTTACCCTCCAGTGAAGAAGGGTAAATTCAGTCTAATAGAATGGTTTCTAGTAAAAGCAGGCCTGGATGTCATGGTAATGGGGCAGCTAAGCTGTCAAAAGGGCTTTTCTTTGTTCCATGTACTCCTTTCCCCCTTGCTTCCAGTCAATTCCCCTGGTGATCCAATTCCACACATCCCTGCTACACTAAACAACATGTGAATATCCTTTCTGGGGGGATTATTTGACTTTTGGCCATTACCTACTGTCTATCAAATAAATTGAAACTCCCTAACCTAGTAATCACTCTCAAATCCACCCACCCAGAGACTCTACTACGTAAACTAAACCCAACACTCAAACCAGAGCCTAGACTCTAATCAAACTGGTATTTTATGGCCCAGGTCCTCATAAGATTAAATCAGCTAATTTCTACCCTATGCCCCTCTTATGCCTTTCCTCTAGAAAAGATGTACTTTTGCCCTAATGTAGGAGAACACATATCACAAAGAGAAAGAAAGCAACTCATATGACTCTCTAATATAAAGTTTAGAAAACAGAAAACCACTAACCTGTAATAAGTATTAACCCTTACAATGTTAGTATATTTAAAGTAATTTTAAAGCAGAAAAACAAGTTATTAAAAGAAAACTGCCAGAAATGTCTTAGAAAAGACCAAGTACACAGCATATTAACATTTAGTTATGTACGCTCCTCGACTTATGATGGGGTTACATCCCAATAAACCTACTATAAACCAAAAATATCATGAGTTGAAAATGTATCAAATACCTCAACAGACCCATCATAAGGATGAGAAATTGTTAAGTTGAGCCACTGCAAGCCAAACCATTGGGAGTCAGGGGCTGTCTGCACACAACACGAGGGGTTTTCTTGGCATAGCTGGTACTTTCAAAAAGCAGCGCTAGGACCAGGACTGTCAGATATGCTGTATAAGATTCTGAGATACCAGAGGTCACTTACTTGCCCAGCTGTGTCTACAAGTTGAAGATGATATTCTTGTCCATTTACTGTGATCAACTTTGTAAAAGCTACAGGGAAAAAGGGAATTAAACATTAGTTTTTAAAAATTAACTCTAAACCACTTAAAGTTTGAACAATGACAACCAATTAAGCACAGAGTCCCTAGCAGTGTCAGAGAAAGGCCCCATGAAACAAAAAAGAACAACTCCCTGACTTGTAAAGATTCTCCCCTGCTTCCATTATTTAGCTAGGAAACACGGTGGCTGGCTAAAATCAAGCTTGGTAAACCTTGATTCTTTTTCAAAGAGACAAAGTACGCAACGATTCAATCCTATAATAGTAATTTCAATGCTCTGGGGCAAATCCTTCCTCTTGTGAAAAAGTGAAATATACTGCATAAAGTCTGAGCTCTAGAATAAACCAAAACCACAGAAATTTTCCATTAATTTATAGGAAGTCTGGCATCAGAGCACAAAGAGCTAATATTAGTTGAAGTGCTAAGAACTTTTAGTACATAAAAAAAGTAACAGTTTTACTGACGGATAAAACAGCAATGAAACAGATGTTCTATGTTGAAGCCATCCTTCCCACTTAAGCTTAAAGATCCAAGCAATTTGTCACAACTTCTTTTCCCTGACAAGGGAGGAAAGAAAATCAGACTTGAATAACTTCCGGAAAAGTCAATTCAGAATTTGAGGGAGACCGACTTCAAGCAAATATAGACAAAAGAGGAAAGAACTACTAACAGAAACAATGTAAAAATAACCACCTGGAACCCTGACAAGGAAGTGGAACAGATTTCTCTTGCATACCCGCCCCAGCTGTCCTGACTCACGATGAGTCCTCCAATCTCCTGACTGGCCGTCCTATATGACCAGAGCCAGGCTGCAGAATCTATCCCTCATACAACTGAGAGAGGTCCCACTTTGCCCACAGCAGAAAGGCAAAGCTGACACAGACAAATGGAAATTACGTGAGAAAACTCTAAGTAACAAAGAGGATTGACTGGAGATCTTATCTGAATTATATGAGTTCCACAGGGAAAGAAAAGATGGCCGAAAGACAAGCAATCACACAGAGAATCATATTAGCGTCACACTTTTCTAATACAAGCAGGGGTGCCAAAAGTCAGGTGAGTAAAGATTACAGACCACATGATGAAATCAATGGCCACACTATATTATGCTTATACTTTTTCTGGAAGTTATCACTTTTAGGAAACAGTTAAATCAGATGGAAACTGAATCGGAATATTTCAAGCTGAGGGGATACCCAATATAACCTATTTCATCAATTCTAAGAAAGAACTCAGATTTGTTTTTACACCGTATCCTCTCTGCTTGGGATGCATCCTGCACCCCTGGAGCTTTCAGTCCTTGTCAGCCAGAGTGCAGTCACTATAGAGCTGTGTGAAAACCTTTAGTCAGATAAATTGAAGTGTATTTCAGATTTGATGAGAAGTATGTAAGAAACATTGGTGAGCAATAAAACCAGTGACTTTCAATTAGAACTAAGTAACTGTGGTTATCAAGTATAATTATGATGACAAGGTTACTGAAAGGAAACATCATTCATTCATTCATTCATTCAAGAACAATTTCTTGAGTGTGTATTATCACCAGTAGCACTGTTGTGGGTGCTTGGGATGCTGTAGTCTCTGACACTCTGTGAGCTTAGATCCCAGGGAAGGAAAGAAGATACAGACACACATGTACCCTCCCACCCTGTCGGGTATCTTCCCTGGGAGTGGAACATCCAGGCAGAGGTTAAACAGCAAGTGAAAAAAGCAAAAAAGTCAATGCAACTAAAGCTGAGGGAGAATGGTAGGCAGCTAACTAGGATGGACAGGAGGCAGAAGGTCCTACAGAACTTGGGATTTTTACTCTGAATGTGAGGAGAAACCAAGGAAAGATCACTCTGGCTACACTGTATATAACAAAAATGGTCCCAGAGATATTAGGCAGGAGCCCATGATATAGTGACCAGTGTCATGACTGTATAGACTATCACAATCTATAGGTGACACTGGCCTGGATTAGAGATGCAGATATTCTGGAAGTATTTCAGAGGCAGAACCAAAAGGATTTTCTAATTGACTGGAGGTGGGATGTAAGAAAATGAAGAATCAGGATGACTTTTTTAAGATGCCACTTACAGATACAGGAAAGACTAGGGGAAAAATACTAGGGATGGGAGAGGAAGGGAATTGAGAGTTGGGTTTTAGGGATGGTTTGGGATGCTTATTAAATACCAAGGGGAAATGCAGGCAGTTAAATAAAAAAGCCCAGGATGTAGTGGCTTATGCCTGTAATCCCACTTTGGGAGGCCCAGGCAGGAGGACTACTTCAGGCCTAGAGTTCAAGACCACCCTAGGCAACATAGTGAGACCCAATCTCCACAAAAAAGGAAAACCTGCTCCAGCGTGGTGGTTCACGCCTGTAGTCTTAGCTACCTGCAAGGCTGAGGCAAGATCATTTTAAGTCCAGGAATTCAATGTTACCATAGCTATAATCATGCCACTGCACCCCTGCCTGAAGGACAGAGTGAAAGACCTTGTCATGTAAAATAAAATAAATTATAAAATAAAGCTCAGAGCTGGGGGGAGAGGTTGGGGTTGAGAATACACACTGGTGAGTCAATAGCAAATTAAAGAGAGGGGAAGATCACTTGAGAGCAAGTGCAGAGGAAAGGCCTGAATCAGGGCACCCCGTGTTGCCAAGTCAAAAAAATGCAGAAGATTCGGCCAAGAAGACTGTGAAAGTACTGGCTCACCAGTGAGGTAAGAGAAAAAGGGTAGGAGATGTCATTGTATATAGTGTATAAAAGAAAAAACAACTAATAAACATTGGCATCTATCTTTGCATGTAAAAAGAATGTAACTTGTCCTACTTGTAGCAGTAAAATGAAAAAGAAGACCTTCCATCTTGCTGTCATAGGAAAACTGCCAGTTTTTGTTACTATAGAAAAAAGGGAGGTATAATAAGAGATAGGATAGACTAGGAAATAATTCTACTCTCTCTCATTTTAACCTCATGTCAAAATGGAAAGCTGGCTTTCTTCTGACATCACTTTCCTTGAGCCCCCTTCTCTCTGCCTCTTTGAATTACCAGAGAATCCCTTTCCAAGCTAAACCCCTGAAATTCTCCTAAGTAGACTAATAGCTATTTACTAGTAAATGCTACTAACCAAGGTCATAGAGGTTTCTAAAATTTGGTGTTCACAAAGCAAGATTTGTGTTACTAAAGTGTGGTGAGGACTCTTCTTTCATACCCTACTGAGAAGTCCACACCCAGGACGCAGTGCCTTGAGAATTCTGCAACACCTAACTGCAATCTCCCAACTTCCTGAGAGGAAGGCAAGGCGCTTATCATTCACCAACAGTGCTACCTGGAGATGGCAGAAGTTGGAAATTGCTGCTATGCTTGCTTTTTAATTATAAACTACCACTAGCTTAATTTAATCCTATCAATTTAGTTTGTATTGAGTTGTTAGATTAACACTGCAGTAGATAATGAAGTACATTTGCATAAGTACTACTTCTGCTTTAAAATTTCCCCAAACTAGAAAATATGTGGTTTTACTGATATTGTTCTCCTACACACCCCTACTGTTAAAGATGACACAGTCCCAGAATTTTTGCTCTCACCATGACACTTCACTGAAATGTGTCACCTCTGAGTGCTTGCTATAACAGCTTGTTCTAATATTATAAAGCGTAAAATAACTACTAAATTATTTCCAGATCTACAGTTTTTTAAAATCATAAAACCACCCACTTATTTATCTTGCTGGCAACAAGTTCATGATAACCTTTTCTTTTCTTTCCAATTCATTGTTATCACTGAACAACGAATGTTTTTCTACCAAATAGTGGAAGAAATGGTGGACTAAGGGCTCCTGCCCTGTGTTAGGTTATCAAAAGTGTAGTAAGTGGAATATAATGTCTGAATATGCCTCACGAACTTTTAATGGATACATATTCATATTTATTTCTGCTCTTGCCTACAGACTTTAACAAGTACTCTGAATTCATTTTTGAGGTGAAGAAAAGTCTTCATTATTGAACTGTAAGATGAGAAAAATTTAAAATATGACCAAAGATGATGCTGATAGCCTCAAAAAAGTAGGGTCATATTACTCTGTTTCTGAGATAACATCAAGTTACATAAGTTGGACTTTCTTCTGATCCATTACTAAGATAATGTATGTATGTACAGCTCCATGATACACAACTCCATGACTTTCCTTCCAACTCAATTTCTATTTTTGAGACCACATCTTGCACTGCTACCCAGGCTGGAGTGCAGTGGCGTGATTACAGATCACTGCAGCCTCAAACTCCTGGGTTCAAGTGATCCACCTGTCTCAGCTGAGACTACAGGCACACTCCATCATGCCCAGCTAATTCCAGTTCAGTATGAAATGGTATGAGGATACATATACAATTATCCACTTTTAGAGGCAGAGCTTACGAAGAAAACAATCTTCTATTGTTCTATTAATACAATTCCAAAATGAACCTTATTATTTCAAGGATCTAAAATCCTAAATTGCTATGTATAGCAAATATTAAAGTCTGAGATGATGATTTCCTTATGTTCTTATTCCAGTGGACAGAAAACCGAGCTTGTTCATCTAGCACTCACATTAATCTGCTCTTCACACTTGCTTACTATGATATAATGACTAGCTAGACAAATCATAGGATGTAATCAGGACTCCTCCCTGCGGATACCCAGAGGTTACTTTCATATATAACACCTTGAAAGGTTACTTTCAAAAATATTCCCAGAGTTAGTCTATCAACCAATAGGTTTCCTTCTCTGCTACCAGTACACTGACACACAAAGGACAGCCAAATATTTTAAGTAAGGGGTGAGGAAACTTTTTCTGTAAAGGGCCAGATAGTACTAGTAAATATTTTAGGCTTTGTAGGCCACCTGGTCCCTGCTGTAACTATTCAACAACTCTGCCATTGTACACAATGTAAAGGACAACATGTAAAGGAACAAGCATGGCTGTGTATCAATAAAACTTTACAGACGTTAACATTGGAATTTCATATCATTTTCACATCAGACATTATTCTTCTTTAGACTTTTATATATTATGCTTAAATGTAAAAACCTTTCTTAGCTCTTGGTCCATACAAAGACAGACAATGGGCAATGGGCCTTTCTGGCCTGCAGGTGGTTGTCTTCCAAGCTCCTTACTTTAAGCCAAAGCATTCAAGTGATTCTCTTCTCTTGCAAACCTCTGGCAGGTGAAATCTACCTCATGCATAATATACCAACCAGGTGTTGATGAATCCCCATGTTTAAATCTACATGTTCCTGGTGACAAATCCTAGGTAAGTCCTGGTCTCAAGAATCTGAGAAAACTAGTTCCAGGGCCCACCTGTGGTTCTAAGCCTGAAAAGACCAGCTTCCCTGTTTCAGATTCTCCTTAGCGATCCCTAGAATCAAGATCTGTCTCAAAGCTGGGCACAGTGTCATATGCCTGTAGTTCCAGCTACTTGGGAGGCTGAGGTAACAGGATCATTTGAGTCCAGGATATTGAGCTCAGCCTGGGTAACACTGTGAGACCCATGTCTCTTTAAAAAAAAAAAAAAAAAATTGTCTCATGGTCCTAGAATCTATCAGGAATATGCTGAAACCACGGATTAAAATTGAACAAAGTAAAGGTCATAGCTGGTTCTCTCTTCCCTGCTTTTTTCTGCACATGGCCTAAAATGTCAACAGGCTTTTTGAGCCAACTTCTTTTTAATGCTGCAACCAATCCCAGAATAGTTCATTTCTCTTTCAAATCTTTAGGGCTGGAAAGAAGGATATAGAGAAATGGGGGCGGGAGTATGGCTTCTGTAAGAATAAGGAACAGCGATCTGGAGTGTTTTTCATTCTTTCAAGCTTGGAATCCCTGGAAACTGCAATGGCTGGGAGGAAGGGGGTGTGGGGGAAAAGACTGTGTTCTCCACTCCTGTTTTTGAGCAGATTCTGGAATACGAAGATTCCAGTAATGGGCCAGATTCCTACTGACTTGAATTAACAATTTCTAGATGGCAAGGCATGCAGACATGGAAGGAAAAAATCTTTCAGGGTAAAGTAGGTAAATCTTTTGCAAGTTTTCTTTGACCCCAATCGGGAGACATACAGAATTTACCTTCTGCACTCAAAGCCTCCATGAATACACAATGGCTATTTTACACAAAAGAAGGCTTCTCAGTTTTTAAGTACTTGAAAACAATACTTACTGTTTTCTATGGTTGGATCGTAGGAGTCCACAAATTGGCCTTCAACAAATTGAATCGTCAATGAGGATTTCCCTATAAAGGAGAACAAGAGCTTAGTGTGTGTTGGCATATGAAGGTAAAAATTTTTAATTTTGCTGTTTCATTAAAAAACCACTAATAGATGAAGAAGCTGAAGGTATTAGGGTCAAAAAACATTCCTTTAATTAGCATTTGGGCAATTTCAAAAAATGAAATAAATTTCATTAATTTGCTTTATATGAGGATATTATGCAATTAAGCTATTACCAAGTAAACTTGTCTGTGACATTAACAAATATTACTGACCAACAAGCACATCAGATATTCTGTTAAAGGTAAACTAAAAGGTTTAAAGTAAGCTAAATTTCCTCTAGTATCCTTGGAATCCTGCTATTTAATGTTAATATGAAAATTAAAATGATTAGTTTCGTTGTATTCTTTCATATATGACCATTAGAAGTGTTACCAAGTACAGCTTTTAAAAAGAGTAAGACGGCCAGGTGCCATGGCTCATGCCTGTAATCCCAGTACTTTGGGAGGCTGAGGCAGTTGGATCACCTGAGGTCAGGAGTTTGAGACCAGCCTGGCCAACATGGTGAAACCCTGTCTCTACTAAGAATAACAAAAATTAGCTGAGTGTGGTGGTGGGTGCCTGTAATCCCAGCTACTTGGAAGGCTGAGATAAGAGAATCGCTTGAACCCAGAAGGCAGAGGCTGCAGTGGGCCAAGATCACACCACTGCACTCTAGCCTGGGCAACAGAGCAAGACCCCGTCTCAAAAAAAAAAAAAAAAAAGAGTAATCTGAAAATATGTAACATAAGTCTTTATCTTAAAAACTCCTTTGAAGGGCCGGGCGCGGTGGCTCAAGCCTGTAATCCCAGCACTTTGGGAGGCCGAGACGGGCAGATCACGAGGTCAGGAGATCGAGACCATCCTGGCTAACACGGTGAAACCCCGTCTCTACTAAAAATACAAAAAACTAGCCGGGCGAGGTGGCAGGCGCCTGTAGTCCTAGCTACTCGGGAGGCTGAGGCAGGAGAATGGCGTGAACCCGGGAGGCGGAGCTTGAGTGAGCTGAGATCCGGCCACTGCACTCCAGCCTGGGCGACAGAGCGAGACTCCGTCTCAAAAAAAAAAAAAAAAAAAAAAAAAAAAAAACTCCTTTGAAGCTAGAAATCCTATCTCATTCAGTATGAAAGGCCTAGCAGTATCTAGACAATTAAGAAATGTATGGATTTCACAAAATCGCCAATAATTGAACTTGTATGTTAATAATCAACAACTAGAGCTTCTCACTCTTCTGTTACCTAAAATGTCTACTGGAGGACTTCAGAACAGGGTATGTGCCCTGTGAAGAAACCGCATGAGAGGCATAGTTCAGATGACTTTATCACCAGGAATGAGGAAGTGGTCCCTCCCCAATTTCACCTCCAAACCCTTCCTTCTCTCTCACATCCTCGGAACATTATTACACACATGCTGTATATGGCTGGTGTCCTTAACTCCACCAGAACAGGACGTGCAGTGAGAGTGAAGGAGAGGCACGGTAACACCCATCTTACACTTTTGGGTTTAATTTCTGCTTGTTTCTCCTCCAAACTATGGATAGGTATAGTTGCACAACGTTTTCACACCAAAGGCATTCCTCAAAATTTAAATTGTTAAAAAGTTGGCTTAACAGTAGTGGTTGCTGGCCGGGTGCGGTGGCTCATGCCTGTAATTCCAGTACTTTGGGAGGCTGAGGCGGGTGGATCACCTGAGGTCAGGAGTTCGAGACCAGCCTGGCCAACATGGTTGGCCCTGTCTCTACTAAAAATACAAAAAAAGTTAGCCAAACATGGGGATGGGCACCCGCAATCCCAGCTACTCAGGAGGCTGAGGCAGGAAGACAGCTTGAACCAGGAGGCGGGCGTTGTAGTGAGCCGAGATGGCGCCACTGCACTCCAGTCTGGGCACCAGTGAGACTGTCTTATTAAAATAAAAAAAGTAGGGGTTGCTGGGAAGGAAAGGCCACAAGTTGGCAGACCTATTTACTCCTTATCAGCGGCCCAATATACAGTTTGAAATGTCTCTAGAATTACTAAAACCTGAAACTATTCTCTACAAAGCAACTTACATGAGCATTTGAAAATTAAATGCTACTTCTCTGCTTCCAATCCTCATTGCAATTAGAATCAATTCCCAACTTCTAACCATGGCCCACAAATACCAGGCCATCCCTGCTCTGGCTACCACTCTGACCTTTTCTGCCAACAGCCCCCAACAACCCGTCCTGAGGCTCCAGTCACATCCCTTCTGCTCCTGGAGTTCCTGCCTGCCTTGGCCCCTTTATTCTAGCAACGCCCATCCCCCCATCTCTGAATATATGACTCATCTTTGTCATTCTGATCTGAGCTCAAATGTTAGTTCCACAGAGAAACCTTCAAGACCACCCTAAGGTAGTACCCATGCCTTAAAAGTCATTCTCATAGCTACTGCTTTATTAAGTTATTTGAAATTATCTTCATTGAGTGAACACTCTACTGAAGCCAGCACAGGGCCAGCTGACACACTGTAAACATTGAGATTTCTGAACAAATGAATGAAATTAAAGCGTAGACCTCCAAATGTCACTCTTAGCCATTCAGATACTACAAAAGATCTCAATTTTATACAAATGAAGTAGAAAACACAGTTCATCAGAAATTAAGAAACAATTCAACTAGTATTTATTGGTACCCAATCACAGGCCTGCCTGTGATACAGGAATACAATAGTTCAAGAATTCCACAAATTTAAATTGAATTGTGTTGAAAAGAAACCATGTTATATATGCTAGCCTGTAAAGGAGAATTTAACTCAAAATATAGCAGAACTACTTCAGGTAATAAAAACAGCAAGGGGAAAACTCCTCTCTTACGTTATTGAAACTGAAAAATTAGGAGTAAAAAAATTGTTATTTACACTGAATGCTACTGCTTAAAGAAATGAAACTTAATTAGAAAGAAAGAAGACAAAAAACTTCTTAAGAGCTTTTGCAGGGTACTTCTAAGGACTCTGGTGGGCTTTTTATACCCTTATGTGGGTGGGATAAGGGTTTGTGGGGTTTTTGTTTTGCTTACAAATGGAAAGGAAAGAAAGCAGATCATTTTCTCCCTAAAGATATGGGCAAGAGTTACAAAGAAAAAAGGAAATAATAGAATTTAAAAGACTTTTGCAACATTTTGTGTAGTAGAACTGGACTAAAAACAGTGAAAGAGGAGCTAAGTATCATACATGGGATAAGCTCCCTAAGCACTGGGCAACCGGAAGCCCCTGGATCAGACAGTCCTCTGAACTGGCACTGGTCAAGTCTCAACAACCTGACTTGCGGGAGTGAAGGGATGGGGAGCAGAGTTTCAGGAGTTTCCTGTGAAATTTAGGAAGCCACATTTGAACAGAAAAGAAAGTTACACACATTAAGCAAGACAGCATGAGATCAAGTGCAAACATGTAGTGAGAGAAGAGCTCCTCATTTGTATCACAATGGGCATATACTATTTGACAGGCTAAATTAACATTTCGGTTAAAAACTAAGTAATCATTCTGGTAACAGACAATGTAGTCTAACCAAAATCACATCGCAGGTTGACAGCCAACTGTTGTTTTCACGAATAGTAAATTGGGATACCAGAATTTAAAACTTATTTCTCCAGGGTGAAAACTGGATTCTCAGACTGGCCCTGGGAGAAAGGTATTGTTCATTAGCAGAAGTGGCACTGAAGAAAAATGACATTTCCCTTGGGTCTCTCCTCCCTGGGGCTCTCCCGCTAGGGTGAGGTCATTAATTATTTAAATAATCCAGAAGGGATAGGAAGGTTATGTTTGCTAACATGCTATTTTCTGCCATTTCCATTGAAAGTGCTATTATTAGATAATTAGTGTTGAAATCTTGACAAGTCAGCATTAAATGCTAATGAATCTTCATAAATAAACCCCATCGCTCATTTTCAAGTGTTCTCAGTTCTAGTTATAATTTCTGGCTTTAAGGAGTGTCTTCTGGAGACGTAGTTCACATCTTTTGGTTAGGATTTTCATGTAGTCTGCTTGCAGCCATAAAAAGGCATTTGTGATCTCTACTGTGATCATCTTTAACCTTTTTCTCTCAATAACTTCATATATTTACTTTGGCTTTTGTCCTTAGCAAATTCAGGTCTGGAAACACTGTTCTTTGCTGAAGACAATCTCACACTCCAGATCAACTCTTTGGAAAAATGTTACATGAAAACTACGTAGGAGTGATCCCAAATAAATGGAAAAGTAGCCCATACTCAGACATGTGTTTATCCTCAAACACAAACCACTCATGTAATGACATAAATTACTACAAATGCTTTAAAAGGCAGTATCTCAATTCCCACAATTAACTGTCAAATATTCTTCCTCCAAACCAAAACCCACCTTAATTTTTAAAAATAAAAATTATTTAAAAAAATTATTCTAAGCGTTTATCGGGGAATAGCATCATATTATTTTTTTTCCAATGATAAAATGGTACAGTGAATTTTTCACCTGGTATTTTCACTACAGAAGCTGTATGTACTTTCAGGGGTGTTGACTCAACCTTATACCTCGTGATTATTGCAAAACAGGCACTGCTTACAGAATTATTTTAAGTTTTCAGATTAATATTGACTTTGTTATCATGATTATTCTCCTAAAAACTAACTTTTTAGCCAGGTGTGGGGGCTCATGCCTGTAATCCCAACACTTTGGGAGGCCGAGGCGGGTGGAATGTTTGACCCCAAGAGTTTGAGACCAGTCTGAACAACATGGTAAAACCGTATCTCTACAAAAAAATATAAAAATTAGCTGAGTGTGGTGAAGTCTCAGTTACTCAAGAAAGTGATGTAGGAGGATCGCTTGAGTCCAAGGGTTGAGGCTGTGTGCGTGAGGGTACCACTGCCCTCCAGCCACGGTCTGTCCCCCCTCCCACCGACTCCCTACAAGCCCAGCATTTTCCCAAACAGTTTATACATTGCTTGTTCATTGGGATATGATGGGGAAGACCAGATTTTCAATCTATTAACTAGTC